GCCTCAACCTTTCAAAACACTGGAATTATAGGCACGAGCCACATCTGTGGGCTGATTGTATCAATGTATTAAAATGTTGTCAACCAACCAATTTTGATCTTGTTCATTTTCTTTTTAAATTTTCTATTTTATTTCTGCTTTTATTAATGCCTTCTATTTACTTTGAGTTTAATTAGCTCTTCTATTTCTAGCTTCCTAAGTCACTGATTTAAGTCTTAGATTTTAGACATTTATTCTTTCATACACAAGCATTTAAAGCCATGAATTTCTCTCCAAGTACTGCTTTAGTTGCATTCCATGAATTTTGATATGTGGTATTTTCATTATTATCAGTTCAAAATATTTTATACTTTGCCTTTGAGTTCTTCTTTGACTCATAGATTCTTTAGAAGTATGCCAGTTGGGTTTTTTTTTTTAATAAAACACAATTACTTTATTGATTTCTTACAATCAAACACTGCCAACTAGCATTACTTCCACTCACACATCCTTAAAAACAAAGGACATTTCCTCCTTAGTATTTTCGAATGATGCATTACACAATAAACAAGGTTAGAACTTAAAATGCACCCTGATTATGTAAACTGGTAATTTGTTTTAAAAAGCATAACTAATAATTTGGTTCCTTTCTTCATAAAATCGAAATTTAAATATTTCTCCTGATAGTCCTGAGGTTATCATTATGGTAGTGCAAAGTGTGGCACATATAGTTTCATGTAGAAAGGTCTGTATTTTGCACACCTTATTTAAACAAACAAAACGTGCATTAACAAAATGCATACAGTCAACACACGACAGAAAGCATGTTTCAAATACGAGGCAGACCCTTGGGCCACCATATTATTTAGGTTTTGCATTATCATTTATGGCATTATAGATTAATTATGCATAACATACTTTTATGCATTTAACCCTAACGATAAGAAAAATAACTGTTGCTTGAAAAAAATTATTCCAGGTAGCCATTTGGTTTGTATCAGGACAAACTGAACCTCCCTGAGTTTAGTGTCTGCCAAGTTGGAATCATTAGTTCAAGTCAGTGAATCAGATACTCAACACATTTCACAGTGACTGTTTCCCAAGTCCTGGTAATGCGTCTTCTCCCAGTCTGCCAGATGATGACGCATTTCCGGGATGCACTTTCTACGTGATTTTCCTTTTTTTTTTTTTTTTTTTGCTGGATTAACTATGACTGTATTATTTTTTCTTCTCCCCTGTTTTGTGGCCTTCCATTTTAATTACTGATAAATCCTTTCATAATTTCCTCAGGGAGCTCCATAAGGGGAAGTTCTGGAGATGTAAAATCCAAGGAAGAAAGACTGGGGATTGAAATGTCTTTGCTGTTCCCGGTATTTGCTGCAGAATTCTGCCAGGTTGAGGAGACTGTAGCAGTTTCTGAATGTGGCAGCAAGCTCCGTAACTCCGACGTTTCAACAAAATCAGCATCTACATCCAGCTCCTTTTCTATTGGGCGTTTTAGAAGTCGAGTCTTTTAGAAATCTGGCCTTTTCAACCTCTAGTCGTTTATTTTCGTTCCTTAATCTTGCCTTCTCAGCCACAACGAATTCCACATGCCTCTTCAAATCTGCAGTTTTGATTGCCTACTCCTCTATAATTGCTTTATCATCTTTTGGGGCTTTGCCTCCAATACATGGCTCTGCTGGCTCACTCTATTGCTGAAGCAAATATAGTAGTGTGTCTGGATCCCCTGAATCTCAGGCAGGTGCTTCTCTACGGAAGTGCTGTGCTTCTGAGAAAGGGGGCTCTGGCCCTCTGGATCCTCAGCAGAGGATTTGTGAGATGCCTGAAGATGGACAGCTACATCCTTGTCTGTGTTCTGCTAGGCTTTCAATCTTTCTTCACGCTGGGCCCTTTTCCATCTCTCTTGGATAAGGAGGAGCTGTTTCATGTGGCTATCCCTTTGCAATTCCAGTGAAAGATGAGCCTGCTCAGATTGTGTTAGTTTCAAAGCTTCAGAAAGATATGCCGCAGCCTTTTTGTGACAAGAAATAGCCTCTTCATATTTGCCTGCAGCTAATAGACGATCTGCTCGTCTGCTCTGTTGATGAGCCAGGTTGAGGGGTCCTTCCATTACTTCCATAGACCCCAGGGCAAGCGGTGGCCTTAGAAGGGGAGCGGTGGTGCCAGCGAATATGGACGGCACTGCAGGGGAACGCCACGCAGCCACGGAGACTTCGGCCTCTCTCTGCACCCCAAGAACCAGCGGTGGGCGCAGAGGGAGCAACAATCTCACCGCTTCCTCCTCCGGCGCCTCGCGCGAGCCCGCCCCCTGCGCCGCAGCCGTGGCCACGCACGGCGCCATGACGTCACAAGCGCCCAGAGTTTTTTATTATTTCCAATTGTTGAAGTTTTTCTTCATAACTTGTTGTTGATTTCTAATTTCTTTTGAGTCTTTTATGTAATTTTTTTTCTCTGCTGAGATTGTCTATCTCTCCATTCATTATGAATATAGTTTCCTTTGTTTCCTTGAGAACAGATATAATAGTTACATTTCCATACATATTTACAAATTCCAACATGTGGCTCCTCTCACAGGCAGTTGCTTGTCTTTTCTCTTGAGGATGGGTCATGTTTTCCTGTTTCTTTACATGCTGAGTAATTTTGGATTGTGTCCAGAACACTGTTATGTTGTGTAGACTCTAGATTTTGTTTCATTTTTCTGAAAAGTGTTGATTGGTTATTTGGTGTTTGTCTTAGGTATTTGAGTTGTATAAACAAAAAACATAATCCTAAGCCCCCCAACTAACTGAATGGACTCCTCTTCTCAGCCAAGGGCATTCTAAAGAAAAACAGAAACACTAGTTCAGGCCACAATGGGAATGGGTAGTCAGACATGCCTCATTATTCTCGCCTCCTTTTGTAATCTGGTACAGCTGACCAGCATTAACATTAAAGCAGCCCTTCAGCCTGATAAAATAGACTCTTTGTAGCAATAAGATACCAACATGACAGATAGCAGGCCCTGAAAGAAGTATTTTACCCCAAAATAAATTTCCTTGATAGATTTTGAAATGGCCCTGCAATGCTACCTCTTGTGGGGAAAATACATTCTGTAGAGAATCCCTTTCCATTACAGGTCTTTACTCTGATCCAGAAAAGAATTAACTAAGAGTCCGGCTTTTTTTTTTTTGAAACAGGGTTTTTCTCTGTCACCTAGGTTGGAGTGCAGTGGCGTGATCACAGCTCTCTGCAGTCTTGCCTTCCTGGGCTCAAGCAATCTTTCCCCACCAGCCACCACTCCCCAGTTTCCTGAGCTAGAGCTAGACTATAGGCATGTGCCACCACACCTGGGTAATTTTTTAATTTTTTGTAGAGACAGCAGTGTCACTATATTGCCCAGGTTGGTCTCAAACTCCTGGGCTCAAACAATCGTCTCCCTTTGGCTTTTCCAAAGTGCTGAGATTACAGGTGTTAGCCACTGTGCCCAGCCACCACATGACTTTAAACTCCATGTTTCTATCATTTCAGATGCTCTAAACGTCCCTGCCACCTGGTCCCGATGGAGTCCTCAGGCAACCCAGAGAGCACCACCTTTTTTTACTATGACCTTCAGAGCCAGCTGTGTGAGAATGAGACCTGGGTCTTTGCTACATTCGCCACCACCATCCTGTACTGCCTGGTGTTCCTCCTCAGCCTAGTGGGCAACAGCTTGGTGCTGTGGGTCCTGGTGAAGTATGAGAGCCTGGAGTCCCTCACCAACATCTTCGTCCTCAACCTGTGTCTCTCAGACCTGGTGTTCGCCTGCTTGTTGCCTGTGTGGATCTCCCCATACTACTGGGGTTGGGTGCTGGGAGATTTCCTCTGCAAGCTCCTCAATATGATCTTCTCCATCAGCCTCTACAGCAGCATCTTCTTCCTGACCATCATGACCATCCACCGTTACCTGTCCGTGGTGAGGCCCCTCTCCACCCTGCGTGTCCCCTCCCTCCGCTGCCGGGTGCTGGTGACCACAGCTGTGTGGGTAGCCAGTATCCTGTCCTCCATCCTCGACACCATCTTCCACAAGGTGCTTCCTTGGGGCTGTGATTATGCCGAACTCACATGGTACCTCACCTCGGTCTACCAGCACAACCTCTTCTTCCTGCTGTCACTGGGGATTATCCTGTTCTGCTACGTGGAGATCCTCAGGACCCTGTTCCGCTCGCGCTCCAAGCGGCGTCACCGCACGGTCAAGCTCATCTTCGCCATCGTGATGGCCTACTTCCTCAGCTGGGGTCCTTACAACCTCACCCTGTTTCTGCAGACACTGCTTAAGACCAGTGTCATCCAGAGCTGTGAGGCCATCCAGCAGCTGGAATACGCCCTGCTCATCTGCCGCAATCTCGCCTTCTCCCACTGCTGCTTCAACCCGGTGCTCTACGTCTTCGTGGGGGTCAAGTTCCGCACGCACCTGAAACACGTCCTCCAGCAGTTCTGGTTCTGCCGGCTGCAGGCGCCCAGCCAACCCCTGGTGCTCAAGTCCCCTGGCGGGTCCGCCAATGAGGGCGCCTCCTTCTACTGAGGATCCTGTGGCGGTGCAGGGGCAGGTGGATGGGGGACTGGTATGGGAGTCACAGAGAAACGCGCCTGGAAGGAGCACTGCAGAGCACGTGGGGACGCCACCTGCCGCTGCTGGCTTGCGGTGAAGGTGATTCATTACACCAGCGGGTCCTGCCAGCCTCTCGTCTGTGGGAAAGTGGCTTCCTACCTGGGAATTTTATACTGCTACCTGACAAACATTTCTTGAACTCGAGTTCATCATGCATGCTTCTTCATTTGAACATGTGTTTCTAATCAGTGCTTGGTTCAGAAGGTTCTAAAACATGAAAGGATTCTAGGAAAGGCGTTTCCTTGGAGACTTTACAGGGCCTAAAGCTCAATGTGTGTGATAACTGCACAATGCCGACCAGGACAGTGTCTCCCTTTCCTGACTGTAGGGTTGTCTCAACTGGTTTAATCACTTTGGAGGCACTGGCTCCATATTCCTCAGATACTGCTGGATGAGGCTGCCTGCAAGACAAGAGTCACCATACCCTGAGATAAGCACAGTCATGTTGAAATGTGGATTCTAAAAATCCACAGCTAGACTGGAGAAATATTCTGCATCCTGGATCCAAGTCCTAGCCCACGAACTGGCCCTTAGAAATTTAGCTTATAAATATTTGATTGAAGGAATGAGTGTAATAAGTGCTACCTTCTGCACTGTATTCAGAGAATACAAAGATGAATGAGATAAAGTTGCTACCCTCCAGGGGCCAACAGCCCAGCCCCAAAGTCTCACCCAGCTTGGTGAACACCCATCTTGGCCAAGGCATCTAGGGTGGACTCCTCTGACAGCTCACCCTTCCCAGGTGGGTAGTGAGCTGACTTCAGATTCGTCCCTTTGCACCTAAAGTGTCCTCCTCCTATTTGGTTGATAGTGCCAGCTTCCCCACACCTGCCCACACTCCAAACCTCAAGTCCTGTTGGAGGCCTGTATTTTCCTTCCCTAAATTTCCACAGCCAGGTCCAAATGACTATGCCTGTCTAGTGGCTTTCAGAGTTGATTCATTCTTGCCATTGCACACACATGCTTTCATATCTGAAACAGAGCCTCACTTCCTTGGTGTCTCCCCGCTGCTCCTCCCTTTCCCCGCCAGGCCTTGGTGTCTCCCCGCTGCTGCTCCCTTTCCGCTCCAGGCCATCCTCTGCCCTGACACCAGGTGCTTTGAAATCCTTAGCGGCTCCTCATTACTTACAAATAAAGTCCAAACACCTTAGCAAGGCTTTCAAGGCCTCCACAATCTGATGCTAGCCAACTTTTCCATTCTTATTCCACTCTAAGCCTCCTCCCTGCAGCAGCTTGGTATCCAACCCCAAAACACCACTGGCCTTATCCAAGGCACTCATCTCTCCAATATCCTACCTCTAAGCATCTGCCATACCTGGGCCTGGAACATGTCCTAGCTGACAGGCCAGCTTCTCCAGGAAGCCCTCCCCAATCTGCAAATTAGGAGAACACTCTCTGGGTTGTTGTGGAATTCTGCTTGTCCCTCTAAAATGGTACTTGTCATTCTCCAGCTTGTGTTGTAATTACACACATGCAATGACTTCCCTCCCTGCCCCAGCAGGCTGCAAGCTGCCTGAAGGCAGGAACCTGGTCTTGAACCAAGTGTTCTATCACTGTGTGCTCAGTGGGAGCAAAAAATCCACAGCTGTTATTGTCCTTCAGATTCATGCTTCTTGGGGAGCAATGCCCTGCGGCACACTTTACCTTCTTTGTCCCAGGCTGCTTCTCTGTAAGTATTAACCTTTCTTTCCTAGTCTACACTCTCAGAGAGTAGTGGAAAGAGAGTAGAGAATAGTAGTAGAGAGATTGCTTATCTCTCTTTCTCTCTGTGGCAATGGCTATGCTTGATCTTGCCTTCTAGTTCATGGTACACATGCCTGCCCCTCACACTGGCCCATTGCTTCACACAAGGGCATAAATAAAAGTCACTCTAAACTTTGCCATCCGCAAAGACCTGGGCCTAATCTATGAACCTGATTTGGCTCTGGAGTGGGGATTTGGAAAAGCTTCCCATGTGATTCTGACATGCACCTCCATTAGGTACATTTGGCTGCAACTTTTTTAAAAAATGAGGAGTTTAGAGTCTTCTACAGTCCCCTGAGCAGGGATTTGCACACAGAAGACACTCAATATATTCTTATTGAATAAAGTAGATACCAATATAGCCCTTAGTAGCCCTATAGCCAACCTGGAGATAACTTGTAAGGCACTACCCCTTCAGTTCCAGATGCAGCTTCAGTGACATATTTGTCAGTGGGGGAGTAGATCTGGAGGAGTTTGATCAGTCTAGGGAAGAGCCAGGGCCTAATTTTCATTAGGCCAGTGGCACCTGCTGGAGAAGGCTGGGCGATACATCAATGAAGGGAAGGGGTTCCCATGGGCCTGCCAGCCTAGAGGTGGGGCCACTACTTACCACTGATGGAAGAAACAGCATGAGGAGGAGATAATGAGGTAGTTTGTGGAATCAGAGCTAAGCTTATGGGCTTCTCAATGGCCTAATCTTTCGAACACACTTTACACTGATTCTTAACGTTTTGTTCAGCTTTTATTCACAGGGTAGGCTAAGCCAGGGAGCAGAAAGGCAAGGGACTCCTACTCACATACCCACTTGGCAAAACCAAAGCACCTTGGGCTTTGAACCCACCCTTCTTAGAAGGCAGGTTTGGGGGTTGATGCCCCTTGATAGGCTCACTTCACCCTCTCCCCGTGCCATTCCATTTCTACCCATCCCAAGATGCTTATCTGAGTATTTCTTTCAGTACATCCAGCCATCTTCCTGGGAGCATTTTATATCTGAGTTTTACACTTCTGGTGATGTTTTGGCATCCCTAATAGACGGGCTCCCAGGGCAGTCTTTAATCAGGAGTCTTCCCGTAATCTAGCTCCTCAAGAATCCAAGGGAAGAGGCACAAAGAAAAGTATGAATGGGAAGATAGAAGGGCAACCCAATCAGAAAGTGGCGGACGATACTGTTGAGAAGGAGCCGGCAGAGAGCTGCACACCAGGAGCTACACTGTCTTTCCCTGACCACAACCTCCGTTGGCCACCTCCTGCCCTTCCCCTCCCTCCACCCGTGGAAACCACTGCTCAATCTCAACTGGCCTCTTGCAGGCCTATCTCTCCCTCCAAACAAAGGTGTGCTGGACACAGGGCTGCAGACCTCTAGCCACTCCCAGAACACACACACACACACAAAAACCCACAGTGGTTCTATAGCATTTACACCTCCACATTCCTTCAGACAGAATCCAGAAGAGAGGAACCTTGCTATCTCTGAAGCAGAGCATGTCTCCAAGCTCAGGGCAGCCCCAGACCTCTAACGGCCTCAAGTGGAGTGGAAATCCCTCAAGGGCACAAAGCCAGTCCCTACCACCTCAATCGGTATCTGGCAATGTTTGTGGTTGGTTGAGTGAGTGAACAGAAGACCATCTTTTGGCTTTTTTCTACCTCCGTTTCCTGTTACCATACTTGCCAATGTTGCATCTTCTGGTCAACACCAGGTACTCAGCCCATGAGTTTCTTGTGAACTTGGTCAACCCCAGGTATTCTCCCCATGAGCTTCTTGTGAACCTGTCTAGGGTCCATCAGCCCAAACATCATTTGTTTTGTTTGAATTAAGCTTTGTTAAACTTTTCACAGCTTTCATTTCATTCTTGAACTTTCACAGTGCAACCGCCTGTGAGGGGACAAAGAAGTCCACAAACATGGAAACCGGGCCTAAAGATGTCCAGAGTAAACTGTCTGTGGAGTCAAATTGTATTTGAGCCCCAGACCTAAACACCAAATCCAAGCTCTTTTTCACTATGACCTTGGGCCTCTCAAGGCCTAGTTTCCTCATCTATAAAGTGTAGAGAAGCCAGTAACAGACTCACCCACACTATGAGGGTGTGCATGAGGTCATGTATGTAAATGTGCTTACTTTATAGATCATTCTGTCCCAATAAGTATGAATTACTATGCATCATTTCATTAAAAAAGAAAGCTTCATTGTATTATATGCACAAATAAAAGATTAACATGTATTGTCTTACCTTTGGCTATCTTAGTCAGTTCAGGCTGCCGTAACAAATACCATAAACTGGGTGGCAAACTCTCAGCCCATAGCATTGGTTATGTCCCCTCATTTCTTCCAAGAGCATATAGGTTCACAGAAGTCTTCTATTGGCCGAGTGCAGTGACTCATACCTGTAATCCCAGTACTTTGCGAGGCGGAGTTGGGTGGATCATGAGTTCAAGGCCAGCCTGGCCAAGATGTTGAAACCCTGTCTTCACTAAAAATACAAAAAAATTAGCTGGGCATGGTGGCATGTGCCTGTAATTCCAGCTACTCGGGAGGCTGAGGTGGAGAATAGCTTGAACCCGAGAGACAGAGGTTGCAGTGAGCCAAGACTGCACAACTGCACTCCAGCCTGGGTGACAGAGCAAGACTCTGTCTCAAAAAAAAAAAAAAAAAATTCTATTTATGGAGGATCTGGGTTAGGGATTAGGGATTGGAGAACAAAGTGTAGAATAAGGCCTGTGTGAGTCAGGGTAGTGGGAAAATGGGTCAATTTAGACCTTAGGTGAAATTGTCCAGGACACCAAGTCTGTCTTGAATGTTCTGTGACTCAATCTCCTGTCCCCATGTCTCCCCTGGCTTAATACCCAGGTCTTCTGTCTCCAAGTCCAGGGCCTTTTTTTCTTTATTATAAAATATCTGGACCTGAACAAGGACCTTTCAGAAATATAGTCCTACAGTCAGAAGAAATGATACTATTATTGGCTGGGAATTTCAGGCATGCTGAAACTTGGTGTGAGATACTTGGGGTTTCAAGGAAGTTTGGGAAGGGTAAGAGGCATTATCCTAACTGTTCACAACTTATTCTGAGCCTAGAGCTTTGCTCTCCACCTTGGGCCCAGCCCAGATCGTAGATGTGGGGTTGCTGCAACCCTTCCACACCTCCCCTGGCCCCTCCACAGAAGGAAGTGAGACCAGAGGGACCAAAGAGAAACAAAGGAAGCTTGGCTCTTTCACTTTGACCATGTCAGAAAATCAGCACTGAGCATCATTTATGGTTAGAAAGAAGAAATGGACAACACTTGGATGGTGCAGGGATGAGAAGGGAGGGAGAGGTATGAGAGAGTGGCATGCAAACCTCCAGGCAATCCATGGCTGATTTTGTAGAGTGCTTTCCCAATGCAAGGGCAGAGTAAAGCCCATGTTGTGGAGAGTGAGACCTCAAAGATGAATTGGCCTCACTCTCGAGTTGGCCACCCTCTGGTCATTCCCAGTTGAAGAAAAGTTTCCGCAGGGTTACTCCAGGCTCAAGAAATTACTGTCCCTTTTCCCAGCCCACCTTGCTGACCTCTCTTGACTGAAAGAAAATGACCTGGCTTGATTGTCCACACAACTGGGGATGCACACTTTAAACGTATTATAAAAGCTCTTCCAAGGCACTTTGCAATGAACTGTGGGGGTGGGGGTAGGAGGCACCCACTTTTACCTGCTCCCACCCTCAACTTTGGTTACAATTGGTTCAATGATATGCCGATATACAGTTTCCCAGTAGTAAGGATAAATGGGGGGCGGTGGGGGGCGGAAAGAACCACTGAGCCCTACTAATTTATCAAAGAATCTTCTGTTTACTTCAAAATTAGAGAAAAAAAATTAGACCCACTTTTCTGGCTGGGTCTTTAGCGAGTCACTTCCCCTCCTTTGAAGCTTATTTCTTCATCTTAACTAGAGAGGTTTGCACTCAGAGCCCTTCTTATGCTTAAACACAAAGTCTATGGGTCTAAAAAATTTCATGACTTACATTTTGATGAAATTCTTCAGGGGATACAAATCTATAGCTTAGGGCATGTTACAGATTGAATTGTGTCATCCTCTGCCCCCAGATTCATATGTTCAGCTCCTAGCCCACAGTCTCTCTGAATATGACCTTATTTGGAAATAGGATTATTGCAGATCATATAAAATGAGATTATGCTGAGGTAAGGTGACTTTATAATCCAATATGGCTGGTGTCCTTGCAAAAAGGGTATATTTGGACACAGGCACAGACACAGGGAGAATGTCATGTGAAGACTAGAGTTATGCTGCCACAAGCCAAGATACACCAAAGATTGCCAGCAAACAACCAGAAGCAAGGAGAAAGGGATGGAGCAGATTCTCCTTTACAGCCCCAGAAGGAAGCAATCATGCTGACATGGAGATCTCAGACTTCCCAGTCTCCAGAACTGTGAGACAGTACATTTCTCTCGTTTGAGCCACCCATGGACCTTGGTTAATGGCAGCTGGAGCAAACTAATACAGGACAGAAATGCAGGGTGGGAGGGGAATCCCAGTGCACCTCCAAACCTTCCATGATGTTTCAGTGTCTCCTGCACCTACAAAAAAGGCTACACCTAACTGAAGACATGCACAGAAGATTGGAAGCTAGTGTTTACTTGTGCCTACTATGTTCTAGGTCCACACACTTTCGTATCTCACAGCTACCTTACGGGGTTTCTGTTTTCTCCAGTTTGACTAAGGAGGATACCAGGGATCAGAATAGGTCCCACTCTAACATCCAGGGCTAAATGTCAGATCACACGGGGAGCTTAAAAAATGTCTGAGTTTCTCCCCCAAAGGTTCCGATGCAATTGCTCTAGGGTACGGCCTGGTCTCAGGATGTTTTTAAAGTCTCCCAGTGGCTCTTACGTACAGCCAAGTTTGACAATCACTGATCTAGTATCTTTATGCATTCAATCATTCACTCAATGAATATTTTCTAGCACATAGGAGGTGCTAGAAGCTGTGCTATATGCCTTGCACACATTATGCCACATTCTCACAATTTTACGAGGTAGGCATTGTCTCTACCCAGGTGAGAAAAGTGGGGCTCGAAGAGATAAATGACTTTCTTAAGTTAAAGCCAAACTAGGAATTTTCAACTCAGGTTTGTATTGTACCAAACACCTACTCTTTCCATCACATCTTGCCAATTTCCCTAAGGATATTTTCATCAGTACTCTTAACCATAAGCAACAGAAATTGCATCTAGTTGCCATGGCAGAAGAAAATGTATGGAAAAGATATTGGACACGATTTCATTGTAATTGCATCAGTGATGCATCAGGGTACAGTGTCATGATGTCTGCAACTATATCATAAATGATTCAGAAAAAAACTAAAAAAAGAAAAATGTGCATAATTATACGTTAAAATTGGGGAGAAATGGCATATAGAAGAGGTTATATGCAAAGAAAGAGAAAAGCTGTTGTTGGGTAGCTTACAAAACTGGTGGGAAGGCAGGAGAAACAGGTAGGACAAAGGGAGGTGGTCTCTGGCACAACAACCCCAGAAGCCAGAGGATACAGTGATTCTAGAAAGACTCCTCCTGCCCCCATTACAAAAAACAGGCATATGAGGTTCACAGAGTGAGTCAAGGCCACACGCCCACACTCTGGCCTCAAGGGAGCTGGGAAAGACTGCCCAGGCTTCCTTAGCTCCTGTAGAAGTGGGCTCTGCCTCCCACCAAAATTCATGTGGTGAGGAATCCCCACAAGCAGGGAGAGATCAGCCACAGGATCAGCTAATGGCCACCACAAGTGTGAAAGAGGTTACTGAGGTTTTCTACTGCTCAGCCTTGCAGAGTCTAAGCCACTAAGATAGGAGGTCAGAGGTGTGACACCATTGGGAATACCCAAAAACATTTTAGGATAAGCCTTTGACAAGTGATATGATCAAACCCACCCCAAATTGCTCCCATCAGCAGTGCATCAATAGAACTACTCTGGACAGTGATGTACTTGGAAAATAGTGGGCTCAATTTTCTGCAATAGTACTATTGAGAATTTCCTTCCTACCAGCCATTTACTTAAAGGTTATCTCTTGGTAGCAAAGCTGAGTTTTTCTAAAGAGCTTTTTCAATTTCTTCTCATGTCTTAGATGGAGTTGATTTCCTTTATTCTGAGTGTCAAGAGCCAGTTTGAAAATAAGAGAACTTGAGCCAGGCACGGTGGCTCATGCCTGTAATCCCAGCTACTCAGGAGGCTGAGGCGGGAGAATCTCTTGAACCCAGGAGGTGGAGGTTGCAGTGAGCCTAGATCATGGCTCTGCACTCCAGCTTGGGCGACAAGGCAAGACTTCATCCTGGGGAAAAAAAAGAAAGAAAAGAAAAGAAGAGAACTTTATTTTTCCACTCAGAAAAAAGAGAGAGACTTTGTTACACAGTCTTGGGCAAGGAAATACTTAAGTTTGAGTTGAGAATTTGGAGGCTTCAGTAGTGGAAAGGTCACTGAATTTGGAGTCTGAAGACCAAGATTGTAATCCCAGCTCTGCCACTAGCTGGCTGGGGGCACTTTGGGAAATAGTAATGATGATGACAATCATTAAAAGATCAGGAGACAACAGATGCTGGGGAGGATGTGGAGAAATAGGAACACTTTTACACTGTTGGTGAGAGTGTAAATTAGTTCAACCATTGTGGAAGACAGTGTGGCGATTCCTCAAGGATCTAGAAATAGAAATTCCATTTGACCCAGCAATCCCATTACTGGGTATATATCCAAAGGATTATAAATCGTTCTATTATAAAGACACATGCACACGTATGTTCATTGCAGCACTGTTTACAGTACCAAAGACCTGGAACCAATCTAAATGCCCATCAATGATAGACTGGATAAAGAAAATGTGGTACATATACACCATGGAACACTATGCAGCCATAAAAAAAGGATGAGTTCATGTCCTTTGTAGGGACATGGATGAATCTGGAAACCATCGTTCTCAGCAAACTGACACAAGAAAACCAAACACCGCGTGTTCTCACTCATAGGCGGGTGTTGAACAATGAGAACACATGGAGACAGGGAGGAGAGCATCACACACTGGGGTCTGCTGGGGGCTAGGGGAGGGACACTGGAGGGTGGGGAGTTGGGGGAGGGATAACATGGGGAGAAATGCCAGATATAGGGGATGAAAGCAGCAAATCACCTTGCCATGTATGTACCTATGCAACAATCCTGCATGATCTGCACATGTACCCCAGAACCTAAAATACA